ACTGCGGGTTACTTTCTCATCTATTTCCATAAAATGGTAATAATGATGTAAAAGCCCTATTAAAAAATGTATTAATGGCCTAGCCATGGTCATACATGTGTAAGATGAAGAGCCTGTGCTGATGAATTATGTAATGAAGATTTTGTGGTTCTTTCTCATCCATGTGCCCAGTAATACTGGAACCTTTTCAAACTGGGAAAACCTGTAATGTTCTCACTTTGAGTGAGGTGTTCCTGTGAGATTTTTCTTCCACATTTATAGGTAATAAATAAGCACGTATTCTGACACCACCTCTGCTAATACCAACCACTCATGCAGGTGAGGGGTGTTGAGTAGGTTCTGCTTCTACCTGTTCTGTGCTCAGCCACTCAACCTACTCTGCAGGAAAACCCCTGTGCTTGTTTCAGCTTCCACAACTCTGCTGTGACTACGTATTCTACCCAGTGCTTCCACCACTGACCACGAATAGACCCAAAACCTAGGGCTTTTAGGTACAGAGTGCACGTGAAGAGTTCCCGTTGGTACCTTGTGGGGTTGAAGGGAGAACGTGGAGGACTGATAAGATGTTTTCAGGCCCTCGAAGGTGATTTGTTCTTAAAGGTACCCCATGCTGCATTGCAGGGGCTTGTGACAAGTGCCATAAATGTGAGAAACTGAAGTCCTGAGCTTTCAATAATGTTTTGGTTCTGCTATGCTTTTGTTGTCAGTCATTACACGTCTTTCATCTGGATGAGGCCTGAGTATGACATTTAAACGCTCACAGACAATCATTTTGTAAAGCTGTGGGTTTTTTTGTTCTTTTTTTTCTTGTCTCCCACCAGCTCTGAAGTAGTTTTATTTATGACAGTATGTACATAAATGAGAAGGCAAAACAGAAGGGCTGTTTATATTCTGTGGCTTCTGAGATGCAATTCTTTTAAGATTGAATGTACATACTATTACTGGATAGTAATCGTCAAGGATTTTATCTCGAGGCACGTATTTGATTTTCATCTAAGCTTTGAAATTCTTGAGTAAATCAAAGGATGCTGTACTAAATACCTTTCCATATATTCCAGCAATACCTCTGGACTGTGCTACAGCAATTTTTCAAACTAAAATCCCGTCTGTTCCCTTACTATCCTTTTCCTAGCTTCCTCCCCTTTCCCAGTCAATAAGCTCTATCTCTTGCTTCCCCTTTTCCTTGGCCCAGGTGCAACATCAGGCTGATGTAGCTATATTGCATTTGTTTTAGGAAAACATACCTGTCTTCAACACTGTGTTGTCCTTTTCCTCTTCTCAAGCTTGGAATATGCTGTCTTGTTGGAGAAGGTGAGAGTGTTTTTTGTACTGTCATTTAGGACAAATGAAGTTTGTTTGTGTCCTTGCACAGCAGAGTTGAGTTTTTGTTTTGCCTTAGATGTAATTTGAATTATGAACCTGCTCTGTGTTTAGGTGTTTCCCTTCTGTGTACAGTGCTTATTTTCAAAATAATTTTCCAGTAGGCTTTACTTCATCTTGTATGTGTAGTATTAAACGAGTACACTTTAATTCTGCTTTTTTTTAGTTCATTAAATGTTTTCTTGAACCAAAACCTCGCAGTATGTTCTTTGACAAGGATGACGAACTTACAGAATATTTTCAGGAAAAAAAATATTTTTTCTTTCATTTAGCATGAAGCTCACTTGTATTTTCTAGTTTCCTTTGTCACCTGTAGAACAAGATAAAGCAACCAAGTTAACTGCCCAGTTAAATAGCATTCCTAGTGGTTTTACCTAGCTAGGTTCCTGGAAAGCAGGAGTAAAATGGGGGCAGGCGGCCTTTTACCTGTTATTAGCTGTTATTTCCTTATTATGGAAAAAATCAAACTTAAGATTCCAGACATTTTATTTTTAATTGGTTATCTGCAGTTGGGCAAAAATCTGTGTCAGAGGAAGAAAGGGAAATGGCTAGGTTTTGTTTTACTAACTCGTCCTTTATTTCGTGATTCTTGGGTCAATTTGGAGGCATTTTTGGAGGCATTTATCCTGCCTAGAGGAATCACTGATAATAGTTATTTCCCATAAATAATGAAAGGCAATTATTATCAGTCTTTGCTAAAGCAACATTGTCCTAATAACTACTGTAAAGTTGAGTGGTGGAAGAAGCTGGGAAAGTTTGTGTATTTTTTCGAGAAAAACACTATGCTAGCTTCCTTATCATAGGCCATGCTGTGTTTGTCATTTAAGTGTCATAGTAGTTATGGTGGTGTCTGCTGTACAGGGAGAGGATGAAAGAGGAATGACATAAATTAGGATATGGGAATCATTGAAGATACCCAAAATTTGACTGCATAAGTTCCTGTGCAGCACTTTTGCACTGGGCTTGCTTTTACTAGGAGGCTGGAGTACATGACCTCCTGAGGTACCTTCCAACCTATGTCATTCAATGGTACTAGAAAACTGTCTTCTCCATCTGTCTGCTGGACATCTGACATAGATTAAGCTACACAACAAAATATGTGCCACACCATCTCCTGGGGAGACCTGCTCATCCAGAAGAAGAGTCTTTGTTGGAGCAGACCACCACTGCTCCCCCATGAGATCAGCAAAGTAAAAAAGCAGTGGAGAGAAAATGCACGAGTCTTTACCCCAGCATACAGTTAAAAGGCAGTTGAGCTACCCGTGAACTGAAAGTATTTGACACCTCAGGATGCAAAATTATTGCTTTGTATGAGAGTCATTCGTTCTATAAACAAGGACAATGTGGTACATTGCTAGCCCAATTTCCTACTTAATTTTCCTTATCAACTAGTAAAATATGTAATTCTTCTTCTGTATATATCCTTGCTTACTGCTACCACTTTGAATTAATAGTGCCAATGAGATACTGTGATCAGTGATGTCCTTCAAAGCAAATCCTCATTTTTTTATTGTTTTGAAAAGACAATATCTTAAAGCAGAAGGTAAAATCTGAAAATTGTTTAATTGCTTAGCTAGAGACTGAGGACTTGAATGGATGGAATGTATCTATTAAACTTGGCGAATGTCATATGTAGTGGAAGAAGAGGCTGAATGAGTAGCAACCAAGGTATAGTTGGAGTGATGATGCTGAGAGGCCATATAACAGCACCCTGGAAAGCTGGCAGAGCAGCTAGGAACTAGCCCCTGTGTTCCCAGTTTTGCTGTGATCCTTGAGCATATGTTCAAACTGGAAGGCATGCAAATATTGCAGAAGACTTCAGAATACCACTCACATTCAATTCTGGAGTACAAGGAAAACACGTTCAGGTTTTCATGTATGGGCTTGTGTTGTACCCTCATATTTGTCTTTCTTCTCTGGTTACACAGCTTTTTTCTGAATTGGCAGGAGCCAATGGCAGCAGTAGATAACAGGCTTAGGCATATATATCCCCATGTAATAGCTACTTCTTGTGAATACCAAGGCCAGGCACCACTCTTCCTCGCTCATATAAAGGCTCTGCTCATAGATATTTGCTGTACTTGTTGAAGTTCTGTCAACTTGCAAATTTTCCTGTGTAAAAGTCCTGCTAAAAACAGTGTTCTGGCTTGGTTTATTTGGGGATTCTTTGGTTTAACAAATTCTGTTCTTCATCTGTGGTTAGTTTGTTTACTCTCCCTGAATTAATATTATCAAGTGTTTGGTTTTTACCTCTTGGACCTCATTTCCAATGTTAAAAAAGTATTGACCAAAGTAGCTACATCTATCAGCTCTGTATGGTAGGAAGAGTTCCTTGCGTGGTGATGGCAGATGAATACATGCTTACAGTTTTAAGAAACTGGTATGTGTTATTTTTTTTGGAGAGAAATTCCGTTTTTCTCATTATTTTTAGGTTATATACTTGAATAATTGTGTCAGGCTAAGGTTGTTTTTTGTGGACTTGAAACAGATTTAAAGGAGAGTATCTGGATTTTGGTATCTGGATAGGAAGCTTGAAAGAAGTAAAATGCTCAATGTCTGTACTGTGTGAGAGCTGTAAATGAAAGCGTTGTTTTCTTCTGTCTCTGCAGTATTGATTTTATTCATTGCCTATTCTTGCAGCTGTTCTGGTCTTCTGAATAACAGGGATGTAGCTGTATTATGAATTTCATTTAAAATGACATTTTAAAAAGTTATAGTTTATAGTTTAAATAGGAAACCTGTGCTTTTTACCTTCCACTGAGTTAGTGACCTACCTGTGTATACCTCTGCCCTCCAAATAACTTATATTCCCTGTCTGAACAAGTGACAAAAGACATTGTTCTCCCCTCTTTTCTCTACATTTCAATGGAAATGTTAAGTCAATATGTAGATAATAATAAGTCATAACTGATTTGAAGTAAATTTGTCAATATCTGCAGGTTACTCATGGACTGAAACTTGTAAAATGGCAACTTGTCATTTTGGACTCTTCAGCATAACATTTTTAAAATATTTTTTTATTGCACTTTAGGAAACACTTAGATTCTGAATGTGGGACTTAGATGTGGAAAATACATGTTTGTCTTTTCAAGACCTAGGTGGTCTTTATACTGTGTTGGATTATGGAACATAAAAATAGTGCTTGATTACCGTGTGGCTTTAAATATATGGGTAAACATACAGATATTCAATTAAGGTAATAAAGTAGTAGCCTAATTTTATGGATATCAGAATGAGCTCACATGGTATCTATTTACTTGTCAGCAGTCAAAAACAATAATTTTAATGCAAGCCATTTATTCCATTCTCTTCTGTGTAGTGCTGCTACTTTGCCAAACAGAGTGATATTTAGACCGACATAGCTTCCATATGTGTTCTGCAACTTGTTTCTACTAGTTATTTTACCCATCACTGTTGCTGAACAATAGTAGAACTTTTTTCGTTTAGGAAAAGTTGTAAACATCTTGTACTGGAACTTAAATACTTTTGTTGTAGGCTTTTTTTATTGATGCTTTTTGCTGAGAATGTGGGGAAGGAGACCTCCAAAATGTAAACTTATCAGTATTTGTTTAAGTTAAGTAAGTTTTATTTAGTTAAATGGTTTTGAAATATTTTTATAGGGTTTAGTTTAGCAGCTTTTAAGAGGAACAAGAGGAAGCTGGAGTTGGCCGAAAAGGTGGAAACAGATCTCATTCAACTTAAGAAAAGAAGACAATCAAATGAAAAGGTTAGTTTGTGTTTCAAATTTTATTGTGTCATTGTAAGCTTACAGCTGATGGCTAATAAATCTTGTGTTGTACGTATGATCAGACTAATGTAGCCTCAAAAGATTCTTCTCCTTAGCCACCCATATGTTTGGATGATATAATGATAACAGTGCAAATTAAAACTTTCTGCCTTGCTATTTGGAAGCCAAGCTCTCGCTTTGGATTTGTCTATGCTATGGAAAATGTATTTTGCCTATTTTGAAGTGGAAATATGACAAATGTAAACACAAACGGATAATTATTTCCTGAAACATTTTCTTTAGCTTGGGATCTCTGTCAGTGTTTCCCACTTTTTAAATGTTTCCTGAGTGCACTGCGTTATGGAGCTGGAATTGGTGAAATTTGAAATATCAGGTAGGTAAACATGTGCATCTGTGCATGCATCTAGCATTGACCTGGCCCCTATTACTTGTACTACAAAACTATTAGGACTCCCTCTGTTTCCCTCACTCTGTTAGTTTAAATTTAGAGCCTTTGTTATCGTTTGAAAACGTTGATCATGGTATTTGTTCTTACTGTTAAATTTTAGCTAAATAAATTAAATCCTTGTGCTTTATGTGGGGCCTGTGGCCATTTGGGTTGGCCGCTTCTTTTTGCTTTGGTAACCTGACTGACCACTGCCTTATTTAGTTGCATATGTTGGTATAAATAATATACAAATCCTAGAGAGTTGAACTACAGAGAATGCAACTTTTTTTTTTTTTTGCCATGCAAATGCAAACCAGTGATAAATTCAGCATTTTTCTTCTTGGTTCTCAGATCAGGACTTTTCTGTATCAGGGTGCTAATTTTCAATATTCAGGGAGGTAAGACCTGTAAAGAAAGTAAGGCTAGAGGAGGGAGAAAGTTATTTACTGGCTTTGGAACTTTCCCTGTTCACGTGACTTCATGCATTTCCTTGTGAAACTTCCATTTCCTAATGATGTTAAAATGTGACTGAGGGAGGAGGGGTCTCTGTGTAGTATTGGAGTTCATGTAATAAGGGGCAAGTCAATGCTTGAAACATATGCCAATGCATGAGCTTACCGACCTGCAATTTGAAATTTCAAGGGCTCCAGAGTCATGTGCAGCACTTGTGGGAGACCCTGAAAGGCCAGTGATGGTAGGTAAAGGAGGTGATCAAATAGAGCTCTACTCACTGGTAAGTAATGCAGTAAAGTAACACAGTGGTTTTGTCCACATTCTGGGTGCATCTTGTCCACGGAGGGGGGGTGAAGACCAAACCATGCTGACAAAGTGGACTGCTTGTCCTACTGCACAGAGCATAGGATAAATGCAGTTTTAACTCCTCAAAATGAAATAGAAATGAAAAATTCTGTGAGAGCAAATTTTACAAGAACAGTAGAATAGTTCTTGCTAGGCTGTTAGAAAGGGACTGTTTATCAAGGATGAGGCACGTGAACTGTGATCTCCAAACTCATATTGTCAAAGCCGAGCTCTCATAAAATCTTAAAAATATGTTTTATAGCTACTTAAATACATGAATACTTAAAAGTGACCATTCTCGTTAAGGTTAAGTTTTAATTGTTAAATACTCATTTTATTTTTGTATTTATTGTGCTTCTCTGGAGCTGGGGACCTGTCCCTGTAAGCAAGAGTTGGTAGCTGTTTTTTTTTCTTTGTCTACTTTCAGTCTCTTACCTGCTTCATGTGCCGCAGTATTGCACAGTTGTTATAAACCCTGGTCATTTTTCATCTCTGAAATTTGAGAAGTCAGAAGAAGAGCAAGGTAGAAAGGATGTTAACAAATTTAAATCTGAATGGAAAATATAACTGAAAGGATTAAGTAAAGATATAGTATCGCTGATCAAGAAAGACAGGTCAAAATTAACTGGAAGCTTAAGCTGTTAAGTTTAAATTTAACCAGCTAAAAACGTACAGTTCTGAAAATGTAGCTTTTGATAAAAAAATTAAATATACTAATCTGTAAAAGAATGAGAAGCTGTTAAAATGTAATAAAATTCCATGGGAAAACTAAATACAAACTACATAACAGATTATTTTTAAATTGTGGTACTACATTGTTAAAACTCCCAAACTGTTTTTGAAATTGACTTGTTAATATAAATTATTAGCTTAAGTTAAATATGGAATTTGTTAACAGATATGGCCAAGTAATAATAAAGTTTCCTCAAGAACTTGCAAAATTTTGAAGTCTAAGGTGTTAAATTTATGAATTAAATACATAAAAACCTACGGGCAAGCAAGCTGGATCGCTTATAGTCCGTCTTGGACCCATATGGAATTTGGACTTATTTTAGAGTTTTGACAGTCTGTTAAGTTTGCCTGCTTTAAAATATATATATATAACATATATATATATATATATATATATATATAAAACATATATAATGTGTCCATGTGTATCTATCTATCTATATATATTTAAACTTTGTGAATTGTAGCATTTAACATATTTCTGGTGATTGTCTTGGTATCAACTTGACAGGATCCTGAATCTTTCGATGTTCATATGTTTTGTCGAGCTGAAACGTGTCATTGAAAGTCTTTAAGGCTGAAGTGTAGACATTCATGGTGTCACAAGTGTGTAAAGTCAATAGTGTTGAAATGGGAACAAATGTAGAGATAAATCTAGAATAGATTCAATCATGTATTTTCCCACTGGATGTGGAATAGAACTGGTCCACGCTGGTTTTGAGTTTGCTGAGTAAAGGTAAAAGTAACAGCAGCAGTGATTCTTTTTCTAATCACAGTCTACACCCCAGCCCCTACTTCTGTTCTGTGAAGCAGAATGCAGATTTGCTTTGTTTTACTGATACAAATTTCCTTCAGAAGGCTGGGGGGGGGGGGGGGTTGCGGCATGTTAAAAAAGGCATTTCCCTTAAAAAAATAAAAAATTCCAGCCTCCTAAGTTTCCCTATCTTAAAATAAAATCAACCCAAACAAGCAAACTATACCGCTGTATTGCCAGCAAATACTGATATGAAATAGATCTTCTTATAAAGAAAATAATTTTTAAAGAAAATAATGCTGAAGAAAGTTTTCATGAGACATATTTGTAAATGCTTGAGGGTTTTTGATTAAAATATCTCTGAAAAAAAATGTGGAAGGCAAATATGCAAGTAAGAGCTAGATCTGAAGTTAGATGACAGATTGAGCAATAAGATGCTGCAAAAAAAAGGCTGCAAGCATTTTTTCTTTGCTGTCAGATGATATGGAAAACATACTGATCTATTCTGAGCCTCATCTATCTAACGTGTATTTCTGTTCGTTATGGGAACCCCAAGTCTTTGATTTAACATGAATTAAGGTTATACAGGTGGCCTTTATTGTGGCATTTCCTAACTTTGATGGGCTTGATTTTCACATCTGTAGTTGTCTATCCATCTATTTTTTGTTGTGGGTATAATTTCCTTTGATAAAAGTGGGGGCAAGGGATAGACAACAAAACCTGCATCCTATTAGTATTTCTTCTCTGTATGGAAATCATAGAACCATAGAAGTTTGGAAGAACTTTATCCAGTCTCATCTTGAAAATCTCCACGGACTGGGAGTCTGCACCTCCAGTGAGCAGCCTGCTCCACTGTTCAGTATCACAGAATCACAGAATCACAGAATTTCTAGGTTGGAAGAGACCTCAAGATCATCGAGTCACTGAGTAGTGTTCTAATTGGGTTAATAATATCTGAATTAGGATTTGTAATTTTTCACCTCTTCTTCTCTTTTCAGTTATTCTGCTTTACTTTTAGGGCATCTGTCTGTTTTAATATTGAATATGGCCAGCTCCTGCGTGCACAACTTGTTCAGGTGTGTAGTTCAAGAGAGGAAGCTTACTGTTGTCCTGGGTTAAAGCTGAGGATGACACTCCTGCTTAGGGGTTCCAGTTGTACGAAACATACTGTAGAACACTAGTATTGCATTATATGTATTTCATTTCAAGACTGGTACAATAGTAACTCAATTAGAGTATTTCAGTTGGAAGGGACCTCCAGAGATGATTTAGTCCAGCTGCCTGACCACTTCAGGGCTGACCAAAACTTAAGCGTATCATTAAAGGCATTGTCCGAATGTCTCTTGAACACTGACAGGCTTGGGGCATCAACCACCTCTCTAGGAAGCCTGTCCCAGTGTTTCAGCATGCTCAGAGTAAAGAAATTGTTCCTAATAGCTACTTTGAAGGCGTTATATCTATGCAAAATGTGGCCAGAGTATCACGAGCATGAGTCTCATAGGAATTCTGCTTGCAGTTGGCCCAAGTAAATTTTCATTGATGATGGGAGCTGGATGATCTGAAGTTGAATAATTGGATATAGATTTTTTTAGCTTGCTTTTTCACCTGGGTTCTAGTCCAGAAAAAAACATGTTTATATGAAAAAAATATAGCTTAACAGAGTTTATTTGCTTGAATGAGTTTTATTTTTACTTTATTTTTTAAAGCAGGTCGATTTCTAGAGAGGAAAGATCGATCAGTTCATGGGTTGAGGGCTTGTGCAGAAGCAGTGTTCATCTTCGCTGTGTGTGATGGATGATGTATCAGTGTTGTTTATTCATTTTATGCATACTGTATGCTGTGTCCTATTAAAAGTGTGCAGCTGGGCACGAAGTCAGAGTGCCTTGCAATGGGTTGGGCAGAGAGGGGAATCTATAGGAAGCTTAGGCAGAGGGAAAACTGCTCTTTCTGATAGAGTGACTGAGGAGTGTTAAGGAAACAGGGTAAGGAAGGGGAGATTGGAGGGTGAGAGGTGAGAGCTGAAGTGTTTGTGAGACAGTAGGCAGAGAGCTTGCATCAGGAATAGATGCTGAAAGACCCCCGCTTTTAGGGGAGGAAATGTGCCTTGGAAGTGATGGAAGTAAGGAGACATCTTGAGCAATCCAGAGGGAGTGGAGGGTAATTTGTTTCAACCAGGATGCCACTGGAGATTGCTAAAGTAAGAATAAACATGGCAGAAAGAATCTGGAATCTGTCTGGGGGGGGAAAGGGGGGGAATTTCCTGTCTTGCTCAGAAGAATTTGAATTTTCTCTTTATGTGGTAAATTGCTGCTTGTGAATTCTGTTTTCTTTTGATTTGGTTGTGTGTGTGTGTCTTTTTTAAAATCGTATATAGTTTTAAAGATCAGAAGTCTCTGAAAATGCCACCTCAAAGCTTTTGGGAGAGGTCTTTTGATACGGTATCTTTGGAATGAATTCCTGATTCACTTCTTAGTGGACAAGTGTGCATCACTAGCATAAAGGGATTTTTGGTGCTTTTGTGAATAAAGGCAGGTAATCTAAGCATCGGGATGAGTTGTGAGATACTTATTTCCTTCTTGTTTCCAGAGAAGCTTTCTTCAGGTCTTGTCTGAGGCAAGAGAACATTTTGGGAAGATTCGTGGCAGCACCACCAGTACAATATGCATGATAACAAATCAGTTTTGTCGATGGTTCTGCCACTTGGTTCTGTGCATGTTAGTTTGCACACTCCTGAAAAGCATAACCTGACCTTTAATTTGCTATTTTAGTAGTTATTTCTGTTTGTGTATGCTGCAGGAGAACGACTCAGGAACATTGGATACAGTTGGTGCAGTTGTTGTTGACCAAGAAGGAAATGTCGCTGCTGCTGTCTCCAGTGGAGGTTTAGCACTAAAGCATCCTGGAAGAGTCGGTCAGGTGATAATACGTTTTCACTTGGGAATGCCTGTTCAGTAGAGCTGTGGTAGCAAACTGATGTTCTCCCTCCCTTTCCCATTAAACTCTGAAGGTATTATCACTGCCTTGGAATGTAAGTTTTGTTTTTAGTGTCCTGCATCAGTGTTATAAGACATTGATAGGTAAGAACTTTTTCTTTAGTTACCTTTTGCCAGAGCTCTTAATATTTAATTTTCAGCCTTAAATACCTCTTGCTTACTACAAGTACTCTCTTAAATACTTGAAGTGTTTTTAAATAGGATTTTTATCAATATTTAGGGAAGTTGTCCTAGCTATTCAATTTTTAAATAATCTTATGAATTGGTAGAAGTGACAATGGTATTAAAAGAACAAATCAGTTATAGGCATTCTTTACTGTTATTAAACAAGGGAGTTTTGAAATGCATCAGAAATAATGCCATACTCTGCTGTAGAGGTGTATTTTTGGTGTACTTTTGCCACTGTCATCTGTCTCTTTCAAAACATATTAAAGATTTCCTTTTGGAATAGGAGAATGAAAGGGACTTTATATGAAAGGGAACATTTGGCATTATTTTGTTTTGTTATTTATACTTATTTTTTTCTAAGGTTAGGTTAGAATACTATACCTCTGGAGATAATCACTCAGTTCTGAAAAGTGGTACTGGAAAATACACCAAAGTGGATTGGAATGTTTATTTTGATTGTTACGATTTTCTGATGTGCTGTATTAATACTTGGATTTTTCTCAGGTTTCTTTTTTTGTCCTTTCTGTTTGTTTGTTTTTTAAGGGATTGAAACAACCCAATAGCTTGGGTATTTAAATTTATGAAAGCTGTGTTTCTTTCCACAGGCAGCTCTTTATGGCTGTGGCTGCTGGGCTGAAAATACAGGAGCTCATACACCTTACTCCACTGCTGTGAGTACTTCAGGTATTTGCTACTTTTATAAATATTTCAAAATGTTGCTATCTCTATGTAATTTGTTTACAAATCCAAAAGAGTTTTAATATAAATGACGAATTAAAATATTACCATTATTTCCATAATGCATTCTATATTTGTATCACTGTATTTATACACACACACACACACACACACACACATATATATGCTAGTATTGTCTTTAAATCCATAAATTAATCCACTTGAACTTTTATTGCATTGAAAGGATGTATTCTATCTGTTATGTATTAATAGATCTATTGTCCTGTAAAGAACTGTTTTTAGAAGTCTAATGCTGTTTTAAACAAAATGCATCTCTAACTGTAAGCCTTCTGTAGAGGACTAAGGGAATTTGAAGGTCCTTAACATAAGAGGGTACCTGGCATACAAAAATGCTACAAATTGCACTTTTCCCTCCAAAAGGGTTACATATTATTTTAAGGGAATATTTAAGTCATTTTGTTTTTCACAAAGCTCTCGTTTCCTCTTAAATGGAAGAGGAAAAGGCAAAAACAAATGACTAGAGCGTATGTCTTGGAAAACATTTATTCAGAAATTGTGACTGTAACATCAGAAAAACTTCCATTTGGAAATCTCAGGGTCCTGGACACACAAAAGTATTTTGTTCATATTATGCCTTCCAGTCTGCTGTCACACTGAGCTGTTCTATTGGCTGGAATGCTGAGCACTGGAGACAACAATTGTAAAAACAAGTTTAACAACGGATCTACTAAATTTATCAGGACAGGAGGAATAGTAACAAAAGAAAAATAACAAAAGAGTAGATAATTAGGGTAATAGCTCATAACACTACGGAAGACTGGAGAATGTAACCCAAGATACTTCTGACGTGTCAGGAACAGACATTGAAAAGATAATTGTGTTGTATTAAATACCAGGTAAATATTTAGAACACAAAAGTTTTAAGATGAAGTTATGCAGGAGTTGCAAGTAAAATTAAAAAAATAAAATAAAAAGTAAAAGCTGTTGTAAGAACTGAATTTCATCTTACGATTGATCCTGGTTGTATGAGCAGTATTAAACAGAAAAAGTACTTGTCAGGATGCAAAATCTACGATACTAAATGCAGAAGTGTTGGAAGACATCTCTGTGCAAGAAACACCATATTGATTTTAGTTTAAAAAAAATGCCTACTTGTGTAAGCAAATATATTTAAATATTGTAGAGTTGGTGACCATAGTAAGTGGTGAGCATAAGGCCAATATTGGAGATTGTGGAAAAGCTGAGAAGGACACCTTTATTGAATTTTTTAAAACTGCTCTTTACAAAGTCAGCTGGATTCGAAGTCTGTATAAGTACAGACAAACAGCCTGATATATTTAAAGGAGATTGACTGGGTTTAATGATGGCCTTAAACAGAAGTCTCCTTTCTTTTATGCTGGTACTAATTTTATATAATGGTAAATACTTTAATGTTACACTATTTATAACCCGCACACACACACACACATATATAAATGTATTTCTTTGGTTCACGTCTTCTAGCTTCCATCGCGTTATATTAATACCAATTGCAGTTAATTGAAATAGACTGCTGGCGGTCTATGAAGCATGGCCATCTGTTTATTCGGTGATTTGAAATTCAGACTAGTGGTGTTTAATTAAACTCTTGTTTCTGGCTTTCCTTTAAAGTTTGTGTGTGTGAGAGAGAGAGCAAGAGAAAGAGCGGAAGATAGAAATGTTTACAGGAAGTGCGAACTCCTCTGTAATCAATACCATCCTTTTTTCCATTTTCAGAAGCTCATAATGTTTTATCTTGTAAACAAATTTGTTTTCTAGATAGCCAGAGATTATTTTTCAGTGATAGCTAGGGATAAAAATTTGAGCCTTGAGAGGTTGTTGAATCGGCCTTTATATTCAATGTTGAGAAGGGATATTTTTTGGCATTTGCTTTTTCCAAGCAATTTTTAAGAGTCAGTGTTTGTAAAATATTTTAAGATCCATGTCTTTGGATTTTGGAGGCTGTGATAAGAAAAAGATTGAACAAGGTGGGGAAAATCTCAGGAGTAGGGAAAGCAGTCTGGAATAGCAATTCAAAGTATACAGAATACAAACACTTGTATGTCACAATCCATTCAGAATTGGCAGGAACATAGGAATGGACATACTGGGTCATACTAGAGCTCCAGACAGTTTGGTGTCCAGTTTTGAACAGAGGGTGGTTGCAGGTCTGCAAGGAAATGTACTGGACTAGGACTGGCACCTCCACTCTGTTTTGTAACCTTCTAGTGATCTGCGACATTGGGGCTTTACAAGCTGGAGATACCTTTCATTTTTATAGGTCAAATGACTTGCTAAAGATTTCTTACTTGTGTTTGGAAGCTCAGTCATTTAATCCTTGATGGGAATGTTTTTCTTACTGTGACGACTGAACTGTGTAGAAGCTTTCTTGGAAAAAGAAATGTCAGTTCAAATGCCACAGTTAATAATTCAGTTGTTTATGTACTTGGATTTTTATTAATTTTGTTCTAAAATCCTTCTTTCGAAGCTTCAGCTTGAGACATATCTTTCACTGCTTTTCTCATAAAAGGGAAGAAAGGGGTTGCCATAAGACTACTTCATTAAAAGTACTTCCAAATTCATGTAGCTTTTTTTAATGGACGTGTATTTTTTGAAGACATGCTTTTACATCTTGATTGTCTGTTGGCCCTGTGGATGCTGGCTGGCTTCCTGCTTTTGATGTGTTCAAAAGGGATTTAGTATTAGTTGTTATGCATTTAGCAAGTTGTTTCTCAAATATTATTTGGGCCATTTTTATCATGATTTTACATTGGATGTGCCAAAGATGGTGGTTCTGAACTTGTTTGGGCATGACTTCAACTTGTTGAACGGTATTTTCTTACCTCTAACACTCTCTTGGCCTTGTTTAGTCTTTTGGCTTTATTTTTTTTTTTTTTTTTGACTTTTCAAAAGATACTTCATGGTTTATAATACACAGGATATTGTAAAACTCATATTGTATGGATATAGTTTAACAGGGGGTGGAACAACTGAAAACAAAAGATGATGACAGGAATGGGGAGACTTTGGGATTTAGGAATGACTTTGAATGTAAAGGGCCTTGAATTCAAGGTCTGTTTTGTAGCTGTTAGTCTGAAACTCAATTTCTATGTTAAACAAGTACAATCTTTCTGAGTTCTGCATCATTTTTTGGGAAGACATTTTAAAGCAGGAACTTTAAATTATGTTACAATTATTTTTTTTTCTGAAAAAAAAAAAAAAACAAACAACAACAATGAAGAAAACATGGTTTAGGGACTTCTGGTAGCTTAAGGATAAATATTATAGGAATGCTGTAAGTATCTCAAAACCAGTATTAAAATTCAAGAAATTCAGAGAATGTTGCTGTTACAGACATAGCTAAGATACCTGTGCAACCTTAACTGTGGCACCTAACAACAGAATGCAAGAGCCATTCCATGCAAGAATGATGGATTGAGTGAAAGCATGCTAAATAAGATAGGCATTGCCAATGGCCTTTATTTAGCATAAAGATAAGTAGAAGCTAAACCCTTTTTTGTTTTGGAGTGGTATAAAACCACAGTTTTTGCCTTTAAGAGCTCACATGTGCATTTGTGCCTATGCACACACTTGTATGTGCACACACAGAACAGCCTCCCCTTTTAAGCACCCAGCCACTCCAAAAGCCAAAGGCACACTCTGAAGGTCACTTGAAACTCTTTAATAAATATTTTTTGCTGGTATATGAATATAAACACAGGAAGATGGGTATTACTTGGCAGGAAAATATTCGTGAACAAAATCCGACCACAGGAGAAACAATTGTCTGCCTTTTGGCTGTACTTTAAGAAAACATTTCCTATTTTTTCCTGAACGCAATATGAATTAAAGACATTGTGCATATTTTTGTCATTCAAAATAATATCAAGTGTGACTTCAATCTCTCCCAGCTGGGACATCCATGATGATTGTGGATATTGGTCTACTAACTGTGCCAAGAAGAGGTAGGTTGTGTTTTTCCTGGGAGATAAGTTGGAAAGTAATAATTCTTTTTTGGAGATACAGAGCCTTAGATATAAAATCTACAGTAACAGCTAATGGAGGAGGCTTTGAAAACACAAATGTAAGTGGAATTTTTGAGTGGAAATAAAGAAATGGAGAATTATGAATAGCATTACTTTTTAACATCTTTACAACAGCAGCTAGTAGAAATCATCCCTACCCATTCTTCATGCGTGGCTGGTGTGCTTTGTGTGCATGGAGCAGCCAATGAAATCAGCAAGCCAAGCCCTTTGGTACTTCGTTTCTGAAGACAGACTGAAGGTCTTGGTTATTAAGAAAATGCAGAAATTCTGTAACACAAAGCTGAAAAGTCTCTGACATTTAGGAGAATCCATTTGAGGAGCATGTTTGATACATGAATGTTGAAGAATTCTAAGGAGAATTTAAATGGAACCTTATTATGGTTTATAATCCTAAAGAAAGAGGAGAGTAGAATTTTTAAATATATTGAATTATTTCAGAAGAAGTAAGCATATTAATGAATATAATTGGATTGAGCCCGAAGTTACATTTTATTGAGAAAGTAGCAGGGATGTCAGGTTTCTGGACCCAAACTGAGATGCAGGCGAGGATTAGTCTGGTAGAAGTTCTCATAGACACTGAGAGTGGCCTCTGTGCTCATAAATGCATTTTAGGGATTATGTTAAGATACTTCAAAAGGTGATTTGGATATATTTTTCTTTTGATGCATCATTCAGTAAAGTGAAAAACAGCACATTTTATATTGTGAAGTATTACAGAACTGCTTAGGTAGGAAGGAACCTGAGATCATGTAGTCCAGCCCCTGCTGAAGCAGGGTCAGCTGGAAAAGGTTGCCAGGACTGGTGTCCAGTTGGGTTTTTACTATATCCACAGAGATCGCAAAGCTCTCTGGGCAACCTGCTGTAGTGTTTGACCACCCTCATAAAGATTTTGCTTGTGTTCAGATTGAATTTCATGTCTCT